ATTGCAATGTTAAACCCTATAACCTGGCCCAAAGGGACCGGGATGGAGATTGTAACAGAAATACCTTTAAAATGTTGTAACCTGGGATTTGAGTTGCATGTTATGGGAATTACTATAGCAGGAACCCCTTGTTGCTAGCCAGGCTAGGACCAAGGAGAGGAGTTCATTGCAATGTTAAACCCTATAACCTGGCCCAAAGGGACCGGGATGGAGATTGTAACAGAAATACCTTTAAAATGTTGTAACCTGGGATTTGAGTTGCATGTTATGGGAATTACTATAGCAGGAACCCCTTGTTGCTAGCCAGGCTAGGACCAAGGAGAGGAGTTCATTGCAATGTTAAACCCTATAACCTGGCCATTTTTATATATATATATATAAAAATATATATACACCTTTTTATATATATATACACACCTATATATATATATATAGGTGTATATATACACACACCTTCAAATTGTTGTTACCCATGATTTGACTTGCACGTTATAGGAATTACTATAGCAGGAACCACCTAAACCAGCAGAGGACAAGCCTTACAAGAAGCAGTGCAAGTGCAGCAGTGACCCTACCTGAGCTGGCATTGGTGCTCATTAACTCCACTCAACACACCATCTCTCCTGTCCTGAGTGACCACCGTAACAGATGGAGACCAAAGTCATGGACTAAATGAACTCAATGGACATTTTGTGGACATCTGCGGACATTTTATGGGCATTTTACAGGGGTGGTCCATAGACTAAGGGAATGATATCTGTGTATTATATCAAAGGATGGGAAGGGGGGTGGTAGTTAATGAGGTTGTATTGTATAGTGTGGTACCTGAGCATGACATAAATGGTATGGAATATGGGGTGGAGAATGTGCTGGTTTTGGCTGGGATAGAGTTAATTTTCTTCATAGTAGCTAGTATAGGGCGATATTTTGGATTTGTGCTGGAAACTGTTGATAATACAGGGATGTTTTCATTATTGCTGATGTTAAGTTTCTAAAGATTTTCTTATTACTTCCCATTTCAAGGATTTATTTTTTAATTTATCATCCAGCCACTGGATCTTGTTCAGCGTTTTGTTCAGCTAGACTCTAGAGACCTCTAATATAATTATATTTTTCTACTCAGCATATAATGTGATCAAGTCACCCCTTAACTAACGTCCTCTCTGATGAACTCAGTAGGCTTCACTCTGTACTTCATACCGCAAGGCAAGTTTTCCAGAAACTAGAGTTTTACTGTATATCTTGGCATACTCTCAAGTTTTGCTGCCAGTGCTTCCAATGTTATATCTGGACAGTATTTTCCCCTTATTTGTAACTCCTATTATCTAATTTATTTATTTCTTTACTCAAAGATATTGTCAAACCTTCTTGCTACATCAGTCATGATGTTACATCAGTCGGTCTGACCTGAAGTCCATTTGAAATCCCGTGTTTGCAAAGATTCAATCCATATCCCTTTAAAATAGCTAACATTCTCTGTTTCTGGAAGTACAGCTCTGTATTGTATGCACTTACATAGTAGGTCATCTATCAGCCAGCTCTGTATCACAGTCTTTGACAACTGCTGTCTGACAAACTTCACTATCTGCCAAGCTTCTCAGCAAAGAAATTTGATTGAACATAGTAGATATCTACTTAAAACTTCCATCTGTCTTCAATTTATTGGTTATTAACAGTTATTGATGGAAAACTAGTAATTAGCTAGCTTTTAATCCATTCTGTTTAAGTCATATTAATTCTGCATATCACTAACTTTAATGCAGTTTATTTGTGAATTTAAAATTTCACAGAGTTACTGCTACAATTACCAGGCCAATTACACATAATAAACTTTGACATGGCTTATTTTTTTCAGGAAAAAAAAGCAGGCTGCATTGACACAGGTCAGAACTGTCCATGTCCTCTCTGTTCTAAAAAATCTTTGAATTTTTGAAATCTTTTCACCTGAATTCAAAAAAGAAAGCAAAATTCAGCCACTGCATTGCAGCTAACATCTGTTTCCTTCTTGTACTCTCCCCAGTCAGGCTACCTGTAGCCTAAACCACACTACAGCTCATTTACACGGATGGAAAAAATCCTCAAGAAGTTATTTTCAGGATCACTTCACTTTTGGCATCAATTTTATGTCTAAAACCAATTTATACTGAAAATCTCATTCTTTGCTTGTATTAAACAATGTTTGGGTTTTTTTTAGTTGTAGGGTCCAAACTAGAAGCAATTTTTGTATGCTGGATTGCAAGAGAGAATGCCGTATTTCCCTATTGCACTCAGAACCGGTTCTGCAAGCCTGAACAATCTCTTGAGGCTATAGTGCCTAATAAACGTCACTGCATCAAACTAAAGTGCCTCAGAGATCTAAATTTAAAAATAAAAGTATTATTTCATTGTGCAGTCAAACTGAGACATCACAAACCTCCCAGGTAAAAAGCTAAGTGACCTTAGCTTTTTCCTAGATGCTGCATCAAAAACAGAATCAACACAAGCATACTTACTGTCTGCATTTTGGGAGCACAAGCTCGGCTGACTTTACAAAGAAGCTTCTGCACATCATAGTAGCTCTGTCCCGTCACTTTCATTAGCTCCAAGAGGGAAAGACATAAAAAGTCCTGAAAGATGACAGAACAGTTCAGAGAGCTCAAACCTAAAAATCAAGATGGGGACTAAACTGATGCAATTTATACACAACTGGTATACACTCCACAGGTTTACCAACTGTGCCATGTTACACAGCATTATGCTATACCTCTCCTGCCTTTCTCTGATATCAGTATATTAAAAGAAATTGTATTCATATTTTAAAGGACATGGAGTCAACCATTCAAGAACTGTGTGATGGAATTGCAACAAGATAACACCTTTTCACCCACAAAAGTCTCTACCTGAAAAACATTCAAAATACATCATGTCTTCTAGATTGCAGTCCTAGGGCAAATCCTGTATTTATGATGCATACTACTGAAATATATAGGGCCTCTTGGCTCTCTTTAGGCGAGCATTCATAAAAACAACTTCAGAACATACTGCTGAATCAACCCATAACTGATAGTGTAACATCACAGCATGTTCACACACTAGATTATGTAGTGTTTTTGTGAAGTGTTCACAAATTAATGTCTTACTCCGAACAAGTAGCAGCTGCACACCCCTGCCAAAATAAAGCATCTTCAGGTTCTTTAGATGTGAAGGTAGTAAGTACATACAAGTTTAAATGTTTTATGTATCATTTTAAAGCTATATTTTTACAAGGCAGCAGGCCAGATGGAGCCTGAAATGCCCCCTGCTTTACAGAAAGTAAAGCTCCCTGTAAAATAAAATACAAAAAAAGTAAACAGTACATACATTAAACCACCACCCCACCCCCCCAAAAACCACCACAAAAACCAACCTCCAAAAAACACCCCACCCAAACCTAAAATAACCCTTTCACCTGACAGGTAGTGATCTGATGGCGACTCAGCCTTTCACACAGCTCCTGAGACAACCTTGCTCTTCTTAGCTTCTTAGCAGCCATGCTCCCCAAACTACAGGGCAAACAAAAAAAAAAAAATATTTTGAAAGATGCTTGGAATATGACTATGCAGACAATTACACTCACTCCTTGCTAAAGAACAGGTAAATGTCCGCACGTGTGTGTGCATATATATATAAAATTTAATGTGATACAGACTTCCCATATAAGTCTATGTCACATTAAATTATATTACCACTCTTAAAGCAGTTATGTTAAATTATATCTCCTCATATTTGACCATATATAAGATCATGCCAGTAAGAACAGAAGAGTCAGCAATGTTTATAGGACAGATGTTTCTGGGACATAAGAAAGCTGGAAATTACTCAGTGGTGAACTGAACAAGAACTCCTCATGCTGTACTGCACTGGAAAGAAATAAGGTTATCTTTGGATGCCTAAACACAAATAGCAGAGTAATCACAGTAAGTATTTAGCCCTAGAACATATACTGCTAGAACACAACACTCGGTTCTGGTGACCCAGAATTCGTGACAGAAGTTGAAAGAACAGGAAGGAACCGGAAAGGAGACACCAGAAAGACTGAAGGGCTGGAAACATACTTTAGCATGCACAACTCAAGATGGTCAAACTAGTCAAACCCATCTCATAACGTTCTATGTAACAATTTATGAAACAAATGCAGTTGTTAAAGAGTGCTTTATTTTAGCCAACAGTGTAAAAGAAGCCAGAGGCCAAAGCTAAGCACATGAAGACGAGAACTACAATGTAAACATTTTTTTCTAAAAGTGAACAAAAATACCATTGGACCAAGGCAGCAACAATTGTGGTATATTCAGTCACTTAAGCAAATTGTATTTATTGAGATTCCTGATTAAAGAGTATCTATTATTTCAGATAAGCTTTAAGACTATTTTACGTAGCAGGTAAGATTACACTGCCACTACGAATCCTTCTCCCCTTAGCCCTCAGCTATTTGCATTTGTCCCTTTTGTTTTTTGTCATTCCATTCTACTGAACAAACTCCACAGGACGGTATCCAGCTCAGTACAACCTAAAGCACACGTGTTTTCCTAACCTGTCCGTATGTTCGAGGACATAGCTGTTTCACTCATATTATTTAGGCAATATTCCTAGTATTTATTTAGCCAGAAGTTTAGGCAAAATAAAAAGGCTTTTAAATAATGCGAAATTGCTACGACTTTTGCAGATGCACAGGCCTCCGCATCTTCACAAGATGGAAACTATTGCCCCCTCCACTAAATCCTCTTTCGAGAGGAGGAAAATCAAACGTTTGAAGAGTGCAGCGTTCTTCAAGTTACCAGCTGTGCTAATAACCATTTCTCATACCAACTGCACACTCTGCCTCGAGCATTACGGCGGTTGCTGGTTTTGCACATACACCACATACCGCCGCAGCTGAACAAAAGCCTAGGCACAACCTCCGGTAACCGATTTTGTGACAGGAGCGATCGCAGCGGACGCCCGCGGGAGCGCTGCCCGTGCCCCCTCCGTGGTACCGGGACGGGCATGCGGATAAGGACACCCCCGAGGGGGGAGAATGCACACAGCTATCGGCACGGACCTACACCCGGTGACAGAGGTGCTGCAGGAGAGCTTGGCGTTA